GGCCTGGGCTCTGGGGTCAGGGGTCAGACCACCTGAGTGCCCCCTACCCCCATTGCTGAGTGCATGGCAGAGATGCACTCAGGAACCACAACCCCTGCATTTGGCTAGGAAAGTGCTTCAGTGGGAGACACGGTAGGGTTATATGTGGGGAAGGGCACAACCAGCTCCAATCCCTGGGGCCATATAGGGTCCCTGAAACACCATCAGGGGCCACTTGAGCACAGAGCGAGGAAGCCTATGAACCCCCCGGAGTGGTCACTCCCCCCTGAATCAGGCCAGATCATCAGGCAGGTCTGAGGGGCTGAGGAGAGGGGGTATGCGGTGCAGAGATGCAACCCAGCACCCCCCGTCCAGTGTGCCACTGCTTAAGCCACATCCTTGCCTAGAGAGGTCCCCATGATTTATTTGGGGCCTACTCCAAGCCCACTATTTGAGGGTTGCTTCTGGTAGTGCTAGAGTGAGTCCCTCCTGTCTATACTCAGTTGACCCATGCACAGACATTCATACTCAGGGCCCAGCCATGTGGTGCTGCTGGGATGGGGTGTGGGGAATGGTGCTGGAGGGGGTCCACTGGGGCTGCACCGAACCATGCAGTGTCTCCCTCTGCACCAGGCCCCAATCCCTGAGTGTCGTCGTGGTAAGTCGTGGCACAGGCAATAGTTCACCTCCCCTCTGGCTGCCGCCCAAGGTTTGGGGCAGGGCAGTGCATGGCCCATGCCCTCTGATGTTCGAGAGGACACTGGAGGAGTCCAGAGTGCTCCGGGGCCCAACAGGCTGGAGAAGAGGAGGACGAGCTTCCAGAAGCTGCACGGGGGGCCCAAGGGGCTCAAGTCCCAACTCTCACTGGGGTCCTGCAGAACCCCGGGGCAAGTTTTTTTTTTTTTTTCCATCAACGACTGCCAGGAGCTCACAGGGTCTCACTATGACCTCATCCCCATACCCCCGCAGATATGGAACCCTCAGGTTATCATTAGTGATATTTTTGGTTTTGGAGCCACAACCAGCTGTGCGGGGGGGGGGGGGGGGGGGGGAGACCATAAGGGATGAGGAAATGGCATCCGCGTCGGCTGCATGCAAGGCAAAGGCCCTCTACCCTGTCCTATCGCTGCGGGCGGGCCTCCTTCCGTTTATGTTTGTATTATCTTGACTTGGAGTCACACCTGGCAGTGTGAGGCTCGGCTTGGTGCCTCCTGCGTGAAAAGCCCGTGCTCAGCCTGCGGGCCTGCTTCTTCTTCCTTTATATGTCGCAGCGCGGGGACATCAAACGTATGGCTCATGTGCATGCTCCCCGTTTCCGAAGTGGGGAGGCTGAGACTCCCACCGGATCGCAGGAGTGGAAACTGAGGCCGGAAACGGTGAGCGAACTCCCCTCCGGCAGGGCTGGTCCCCTCAAGCGCGCTCACCTCCCACCTCTCTTCTGCCTGGGGCAGCGGACAGAAAGCCATAAGAGGTCTCTAGGCTGACATCTCCCTTTTACGCGTTCAGAAACCCGGTTTCTCAGGCAGACTGGGCGGGCTGTCTTCTAGCACTCGCGCTCCAGACCCCCGCGAGCCTGCTGGGAATGTCCGAGCCTCGCGCCGGGGAGGCCTAATGGGCAGCGGCTGCGTCTCATCGGCTCTCGGGAAATGTAGTTCTGATGCTGGAGGAACGCGAGAGCCAATGGGAAGCCGACTCTTGCCGCTGTGCCTCCTGGGAAGTGTAGTTCCGTTCGCGACGGGAGCCGAGGGAGAAGATGGAGACGAGAAATCGGGGGAGGTTTGTGGAGCGGAACGAACATCCGGGTGTCCGGGAGTGTGGCCAGGCGGGGGACGGAGGACTTTGGCGCACAGCCTGCCGGGGCATGGAGTCCCGCTGAGCCTTGTACGCATGTGCGAGGCGTCGAGGCGGCTTGGGGGCCCTCGCCTTGGAGAGTGAGGTGAGCAAGGGGAGAAAGGCAAGAAGGATGGGGCGGTGGGTAAGCTTTGGGGAGGGGGCGCTGGAGGCCGGAAGAAGTCGGGGTGGGGGATGGGAAGGACCTGGGGTGCAGGGGCGGTGGGGGAAGGTTGGGAAGAGGGGAGGGTTGTTGGAGCGGAGGAAGCGGGAGTTGGGAAGTGGGGGGTGCCCAGCAGTGGCGAGCTGGGCCGCGGGGGTGTGATCGGCGAAATGGGGACCCCATTCGGGAAGGTTTGCTGGAAGGGCTGGGGACGGCCCGGGTCTGTCGCGGAGCCGGTGCCCGGACGCGGGGTTGCAGCCGGCCCGTGCCTGCGCCCGTTCCGGCTGCCCAGCACTGGCGTTAGCCGTACGAGACCAGCGGGTCGGAACAGTCCTTCCCCATCTATCTCTGAGGAAGCGAGGAGGTGGGGGGGCTTCCACCTGTTGGCCTGTGGCAGGATTATGTCGGTTAAGGGTGCAAATGCGTCAGTTCGATGTTTGCGGGTCTGAAGCTGCACCCCTGAAGCCCAGCGTCCTGCAGTTACCTGCCTTTCCTGGCCTAAGGCTAGTTTCAGTTGTTTGTAGTTGGGAGCTGGGAACAGCCACTGAGCAGACTAGCTGGGATGTGGGGCTGCTGCCCGCACCTGGGCTTCTTCTCCCACCGCGCCCCCTGGCTTAGGTGCAGCTTCTCTTTCATCCTGGGAGGTGGCGCCGCCTTGTGTTTGAGGTGCCCTGAAGCCTTGTCCAAGAACCGCTAGGGGGCAGGCCGGTGGATGGGGTAAATATCGACACCCCCCACCCCTCCCGCGGCTGAGCTGTGCCCTCTCTGCACTCTAGAGGCTGTACTGGGGTCATAGTTGGGGAGTTTGCTCTGGCATCACTTTGGGCGAGGGCCAGCTGGCACCTCCATGCTGCCAGCGTGGAGTGAGGGTGCTCCGAGGATAGGCTCGGAGCCCTCCTGGCTGGAGGGGCTGCTCTTGGCCCTATCTCCCAGAAGCGGACCTCAGAGAACACATCTTCAGCTCTGGGTCACACTTTCTGAGTCCTGGAGTGGGTGCACATGCATGTGACCTTCGCGGGGCTCCCCTGCAGCTCTGGACTCACCCCAGATTCTGGTGTGTGTATGAGGGGGAGGCATGTAAGGCAGGTGCCAGCCCTTGCAGTCCCCAGACTCTGTGCCACCCTGCGGTGCACTATACCCAACTTGCCTCAGTATGGGCCTGCGCCACCTGGTGCTTGGGACCCTGAGAAGAGCTTGAGCCCTGCACCCAGGATCTCACTGTAGACCCTGGAGCACAGGCTCTGAAGACTCTTCGAGAGTCCTTTCCTGACAGCCTTTCCAATGCCATGCACTGGGGATCTGTGTCTTTGCCACTGGCTCTGTCAGGGGGCCAGGCTGGACCTCCAGAGAGACAGTGAGTGGAAGGGACATTGAGCACACATTAGCACAACCCTGGGCCAGTTCCAGGCGCCCCAGGGATGAAATGGACAAAGGAAGCCCTGATCCCCTCAGGGCAGAAATTGTCTAGACTTCCTCTTCTGGCTGGTGACTTGAGCATACCGGGTTCACCTGGATGTAAGCATTTCCTGTGGTTGGGGTGATCCCACTGTGCAGAGGTAAGCCTTGGCCCAGCCCCTGCCCATCCCATTGGTCAGTGCCAGATCTTGTGGGCCCCACAATACTCCAATGAAAACCCCAGCCAGGGGCCAGTGGTTCTCCCACATCCTGGATTCAGCTCAGGGCCTGTGCTTGAGGGTGTATGGGAAAAGCAGGTGCGGAGTTGTGTGCGCATGTCAGAGGTTCCTCCTAGGACTGGCCCCAACTGTGCCCGAACAGGCAGAAAGGAAGCACAGATTGATCTTGGGTTGGGACCTGCCCTCTGGCTGGTTCCACATTTGAGCTGCACTCAGCCTTGGCCCACCAGGGCTCATTGCGCACCTGGCACCCCCTCCCATTTCAGTGTCCCTGTGGGCCACTTTGGGGTGGGGCTGCCTGTTCCCATCTAGTGAGGTCTTGTTCCTGGGCTTGTTTTGTCCCTGTGCCCAAAGTTTCTGTTTTCTGGAAGGGAGAAGGGGAGATGCTTTGAGGGACTGGGAGGCTTTATAAAGAGAGAAAGGATGTGGAGAATATGCTGACCATCTGCAATGTCTCCTAACCCGTCTATGAGTTCCCAGGTCCTGGTAGTCTGTAGTCGCTTGAATACAGCCAGAGGCTCCCACTGGTCACTGAGACGCCCCACAGATCTGGAGGCTGGAAGTCTGCCATCAAGTGCCAGTCAGGACCGGTCTTGGTGAGCTCCTCTCCAGACCTCACCCCCTCTATTCCTCTCTCCTGGCCCCGCCCCACTTCCTCTCCTGGCCCCACTCCCCATTCCTCTCCTGGCCCCACCTATATTCCTCTCTCTTGGCCCCACCCCCCATTCCTCTCCTGCCCCCCCCCATTCCTCTTTCCTGACCCTGCTGCTCTCCAGCTCCCACCCTCTCTGCCCCTGCTGTGCCTCTTCCTTCTCTCTGGCCCTGCCTCTCTCTTCCTGCTTTCTGCCTGCCCTCTCTACCCCAGCCACTCCAGTCCATCCTGTCCCATTTGTGGCCCCTTCTCCATTCTAGCCCTGCCTTCTTCTGGTCCTGTCCCACTCAGGCCCCTGGCCCTGCAGCTCTGCCCCCCCCCCACCCCCCGAGCCTGGTGTGGGCAGGGCTGATGTCAGTGGGTGGCTTGCACTTCTAGGGTGCCCTGGCCAGTGAGTCTGGATCCAGCTCTCAACCCAGATGAGCCTATCCTCATGCTGACAGTCCAGCTTGCCCAGGCACCCCAGTAGAGCACTGCAACACTGAATTTAGGGGGGCAGGTTCAGAGGGGATCGGGTGGGTGTGGAGGAGCAATCTGCGGACTGTTTGACGCGCATCCAGACCAGTCACCCCACACCCAGCCCAAATCTCCAGCCTGAAAAGAGCCACCCAAGATGTGCCTGAGTCCCCTTTCTTCCTTAGTACTGTGGGGAAGCCCTGCCCACTCCCCGGACACCTCTTGGGGTGTGGGCCCTGCCCCAGGAGCCGTCCTCACAGCCAACCCCCCAATCCCCTGCAGGTGCTGCCAGCCACATGGAAGGCTCGTCGCTGCCACCCCAGCCTGCCCCTGTGAAGCAGGAGGGCCAGGTGGATGAGGGCCTGGCTCTGGATTCACCCTGGCACCGCTTCCGCCACTTCCACCTGGGCGATGCGCCGGGACCAAGGGAGGCTCTGGGGCTGCTGCGTGCACTGTGCCGGGACTGGCTGCGGCCAGAACTGCACACCAAGGAGCAGATGCTGGAGCTGCTGGTGCTGGAGCAGTTCCTGAGTGCGCTACCTGCCGACGTGCAGTCCTGGGTGTGCAGCCGGCGGCCGCAGAGTGGAGAGGAGGCCGTGGCCCTGCTGGAGGAGCTCTGGGTGAGCAGGGCCGCTTGCACTGCCCTACAGAGATGCTGGGAGTGACAGTGGAGAAGGGAACCTGCCACTAAGAAACTCCTTCAAGGCGCCACCCATATGGGACCATAACTAGCGGGGCGGGTGGGAGAGACCCTCCAAAGGGTGAGGATGGGGGTGCTGGGAAAGGTTCAGGGTGGTTCGGTAGTGAGGGTGGGGTGAGGAGAGGTACACGCTGCCTGAGAGACTCAAACCTGCCTCCCATACCTGTTCTCCACATTGTGGTCACAATTAGGGGGGTTGTCTAGTGTGGCCGTGGCTGATATGGCAGATGCTGTGTGGAAACAGCTAAGCGTGGGTGCCTCTGGGGAGGTTGACCCTGCTCAGTGCACCAACAGAGGAAATGTGTGCATGTATGTGCCTGGCGTATGCATGCGTGTGTATGCTGAGCCCATTTGCCTGGGCTGGGGCTGCGTGCACACATGCATGCATGATGGAACTCTGTGCGAGTGTCTGCATGCTGGTACAGGTGTGAGTCAAACCCAGCCTCACATGGACCTTCTTGGAGATGGCGCTGACCTGAGCCAGTATTTGCTTCAGGTGCTTATTGGAGGCCTCCTCAGGTAGCTTCTGCTCTACCTTTTTGTGCCTTCCCCACCCTGCTGTGGTTTGGGGTGCACAGTTTATAGAGCTCCCTGTGAAGGTAGCCACCACCACACTGTGAGCCCCATGACCCCCATGCCCACTGCTGTTCATCCCAGAGTAACAGTACTCCTGGGTCATCGAAAGCCCTGCAGTTGGCCCTGCAGACATGGTGGAGCTGGCTCAGCTGGAGGGGGTGGGGCATCCCCGTGGGGGTGGGGGCTCCCCCATTGGAAGTGGCAGCCCCAGGATGTAGGTGCCAAGGCTTCAGTGGACATCGATGTCTTTGACTCAGGGACCAGCAGTGAGGGTGCCTCGGGACGAGTCAGCCGACTCTGGGGTCAGCGTGGGAAAGGAAGAAGGCGGGATGATGCCCCTAGGTGAGCCCCCCAACTCCCTCCCCTCTTCTGCCAGGCTGGGGCTCCATTATGTTCATGCATGCATGGCCCATGTCTTACCACAGTCCTGCCTGCCCCAAGTGTGAGTTTGCATAACAGAGTTGGGCAATAAGCGTGTCCCTCTTTGTGGGTAATGGTCTGGGGTTAAGCTGGATACAGCTGTGCCTCCTCCGGAACCCCTGGAAGAGCATGGGAGCTCCTCATAGTGGGGCATATGCTGGGGGTGTGGTGGGCAATGGTAACCCCTTGGAATGTTTTTGTTTTGGGGCCACAACCAACAGGATTCAGGACCAACTTCAGGCTCAGTGCTTGGAGGTGCTCCTGGTGACCCAGAGCCCTGCAGTGCCGGGCCAGAGCTGGGCCTGGCATGGCCATGCGTTCTCCCCACCAGCCAGCTGACCCAGGTGTACCTGTGAGTCAGCAGTAAGCGACAGAGGTGGCCTTAACTCCTGAGTCCTACAACCGTTTGCAAACCCAGAGAAAGGAAATACGGGGTTCATCTACCCACACAGCTTATTCCTCTCGTGTTCCCCATTTACCTGGATCCCCACCAGACCCTTACCCAAGTACCAGATCACTCCCCAGCCCCCCACTGTCCTGCCCCCATTAACCCATTTATGTACCTTCTGCTCATGTGTGTCTGTCCCTCATGGTGCTCCCTGCCCACCAACCTGATAGTCCATCTGCTCACTCCATCTTCCAGAATTCTCCTGGACCTACACCCATCCATCTATTCATAACCACCCATCAGATAATCCACGTAGGCACCATCTATCAACCCACTTATTCATCCACCCATCATCCATGCATGTATCGTCTTTCATCCACCCTTCCCAGCCTTACCTCCGCCTGTTTATTGGGCACTAAAGTGTGTAGGCACTGCCCAGGGTGCAAAGGACATGGGCGCGAGTCGTAACACTCCCCTCTTTGCCCCACTCCGGTGCCACCTGGGTCCCTCTCCAGCGCTGCCAATGCCCCTACCAACACTGACCTGCACCTTTCCCCGGCAGGAGATGCAGTCACTGGGGCTGAGGTGCCAGCCACAGCGGACGCCCAGCCCACGCGTCCTTACAAGCAGGAACCAGGCAGCCCTCCGCTGGCACCCTGTCTGCCCGCCCTCCCCACCTTGCTGGCGGCCCCAGGTGCCACGGCCACGTCGTGCCCCGAGTGCGGCCAGACAGCGCTGAAGCCAGCCCACCTGCTGCGCCCGCGGCAGAACCTTGCTGCTGACAAGCCTCACGCTTGCCCCGAGTGCGGCAAAGCCTTCCGGCGCAAGGAGCACCTGCGGCGACATCGCGGCACGCACCCCGGCGTGCCCGCCGCGGGCAGCCCCGCGCTGCGGCCGCTGGCGGTGCGAGAGAAGCCGCACGCGTGCTGCGAGTGTGGGAAGGCCTTCTACTGGCGGGAGCACCTGGTGCGCCACCGCAAGACGCACTCGGGCGCGCGCCCCCTTCGCTTGCTGGCAGTGCGGCAAGGGCTTCGGGCGCCGCGAGCACGTGCTCCGCCACCAGCGCATCCACGGCCGGGCTGCTGCCCCGGCTCCCGACGGGGGTGGACCCTTTCCGGCCTGGCCCTTGGGCTAGCTGCGGCTGCCCCTCCCCACCGCCCCACGGGCACGGCCACTCCCTGCTCTGTCTGTGCCTCCTCTCCGACACCCTCCCCCCAGCTCTCCCTCTCCCCAACACCCGCCTCTTCCTGTACCCCCTCACACCACACTCCCATCTTCTAGGGGTTTCCACCTCCTGTGCGAATCTCACTCCCTCCTCTGTCCCCGGGCTTCTGCCTCTCCTTTCCCAACTCCCTTTCTCTCCCTTTCAGTTTCCCGACCGCCTTCCCTCTGGAGCCCAGAAGCGGAGCAGGGAGCAGGCTTGAGGGTCCAGAGGCACCTGAAGGGCCGGGTCTGGGTCCAGGGACCCATGGACTTGCCGAGAGTGGGGACTCCCTGCGTGGGTTCCCCCAGACCAAATCTGAGGGACTGAAGTAGTGCTGTGTGAACACCCCGGACCTCCTTCCCCACAGCATTATCTGGCCATGGGGCACCCACTCCCCTGCGTCAGGTGTCACTTTGTATATAGGTCACCCCAGGTCATCAGGATTCTCCAGGTACTCTCCTGGATCTGGGGCTGCACCAGAGGCTGAACTGTGACCCTAGAAGCAGGGCCATGGTGCTCTGCAAGGATGGGTACAGGCACCTTCACCCCCAAAGCCCAGGAACAGTGTACAGACTCAGACCTCTGCCATCATCTCAGCCCCCCCCCCCCAACCCCTGTGGTCCCTGTTCCATAGATGGGGAGACCGAGATGCCAGCTCTCACCCAGCTGGGCCCTGTGCCAAGCCCCTGCCCACATGGACTGTCATGGAGGGGGCGCCCCACACTTTCGCCTACCTTGTGGATCCTTGTGGGAGGCGGACAGTTGTGGCAGTGCAGGAGTGACTGAGACATGAGGGCACCTGTGCCTTCCCCAGGGCACCCTCAGCCACCCACCTGCAGTTGCCCAGACGGGGATGAGGTCACTGGCTCCTTAGCGAGGTGCATGGCACACAGCAGGACTTGGAAGCCAGGTGACCAGTCGCCAAATCAGCAGCCGTGGCCACCCCAGGGTTACCTCAGCTGCTCTCAGGGCAGACAGAGCTGAAGGGATCTTGGCCCTGGTGACCAGCCACCAGCACCCACAACACCCCCTCCCCCCGGCCCAGTTCTTGAAGCCCCTTCCCAGAGTGCTGGCAGAGAGGAGCTAAATAAAACCTCGCTCTGTCGTTGGTCTCTTTGTCTGTCTGTCTGGGCCACCACCAGCGCTGCTCATGGTGCACTCCTGGCAGTGCCAGGATCAAACCCAGGTGAGCTGTACTGTGCCCCCAGACCAGGGGACCTGGCCATCAAACTCAGGCCAGCTTACTCTATGCCTGGCCCATGGGTGATTATTTTTGAAGAGAAAAGAGGGAGGCAGAGACAGTTCTGGGGCAGGTTTAGTGTCCTGCAGTGCTCTGGGGTCCAGCTGCTGGACCCTGCTGCTACATCACTGGGCATCAATCCAGACCCTGCCCCCCCCCCCCCCAACCAAGTAGCTCAGAAAACCCCAACTCTGCTGCAACCCCAGTTGGTGTTCTTCTGGGCAGTTCGTTGAGCAGAGGGGTCACAGACTGGGATCTGGTGTGCCTGTGCAGTCCTGTCTCCAGGGTCCCCACTCCTGGTGCTTAGGAGTGGAGGGGATATTTGTCCCCCATGGTGAGATGGCTGCAGGGAGACATGGGGGTGTCTGTGGGGTGCAGTTGATGCCAGGGCACTCCCCACGCAGCACCTTCTCATGGGGCTCCAGGAGAGGGCTAGCTGTCCAGGGGGCTGTGGGTCCAGTTGGTGACTCTGCAGCTTTGGAAGGACCAGACAGGACGGGGGCAGGAGATAGGGCATGTAGATATGTGGAGTTGCAGATGAGGAACCTGCTGGTAGTGAATAACATATTTAGGAAACGGTGCAGTATGGTAACAGGTAGGGTGTGTGCTTGGTAGGCGGGAGGGCCGGGGCTGGGGCCAGCAGTGGCAAGTGACTGGCACATGGCGGGGGAAGCCCCAGCCCACCACTGAATGCAAAGAAGGCCTGACTCAGTCCATTTAAACCAATCAAACATGCTGTATATTTGAGTGAGCTGCTGATGAAATAATAGAGATCACAGGAGAAAAATCTGCCTTTCCAGCTTTGTTAGGAAAATGTTAAAAACTAACACAACTCACACGTGGGGGAAAAATAGCAACATAAGCCCACAAGCCTGAAAGAAATCAAACAGCCAGTGTCACAAAACCAAACCACCCTTTAGAGAAAGGCCAACTGCCCGCAGAATCACTGAGGGTGTACTCTGGAAGTCTAGAACAACATGTCCTGCCCTTGGAATCAGGCTCAAGAGAGAGCATGCGGTGCTGGGGATCAAGCAGGGACCCCACACTTGCAAGGCAAGTTCTTAGCTACTCATTCTAGTTCTGTGCATAGATAGCACCAGGATCAGCCATTGGCCAGGCCAGTGTGACTTCTGCCGTCTCAGGTACCCTCTTGTAACCTTGGATCCGTCATCTGCGGCAGCAGAGGAAGCACCTGGAGCCGGTGGCCTGTCAGTGGATCAGTCCGCTGAGCAGAGATCTCCGGGGCCCTACTGCGGGCCCCCCTGGACGCCCTGGCGCAGGTGTGTCCTCTTGTGGCGATTGAAGGTGCCTAGCTGGCGGAAGTCGCGGCTGCACACGGGGCACGAGTAAGGCTTGAGGCCCGAGTGGGTGCGCAGGTGCACGTTGAGGTTGCCGCGATGGCTGAAGAGCTGCCCGCACTGGTCGCACGCGAAGGGCCGCTCCTGGGTGTGCATGCGGGTGTGGCCGGTGAGCGTGGACTGATGCGTGAATGTGGCCCCGCAGATACCGCAGCTGTAGGGCCTCTGGTTGTTGTGGATCCGCTGGTGCACGCGCAGGTCTGACGGCTGCATGAAGCCGCGTCCACAGGTCGCGCAGCGGAATGGCCGCTCACCCGTGTGGCTGCGCCGGTGGATGTCCAGCTGAGACTTGTAGAAGAAGGCTTTGGGGCAGTGGTCGCACACCAAAGGGGGGCGCTCGCCCGGTCTGGCTGCAGGGACACGGCCCCCGGGGCCCCCGGGGCCCCCGGGTGCGGCTCCATTTCGCCGTGGAGATTCCGAGGGGCTGGCGGCTCGCGTGCATCTCACTCGCTGTGAACGGCGAGGCCCTGATGTGCTGGGGGAAGCTTTTCTTTTGGATGCGCCTGGCGGCCTGTGTGTCTCAGCGTTCCCAGACCCTCCATCTCGGGTCCTCTCAGTGCCCAGGAAACCTGCAGAGGGTTGGACAGCATGGGGAGCATGAACCATATTCCCCAGCAGAGAGCCCCAGCCCCAGCCTAAGAGGTGGATGAGAAGCTCTGGAAGGGCAGGGTGGAGGCAAGCCCGCTACTGAGGGTCATGGCCTCCAGCTCTGCCCGTGTGCAGAGCCTCCCCGCCCCCATCCCCTCCACACTCACCAGGATGAAGGATCTCCTCCTCCTCCTCCTTCTTCTCCTCCTTCTTCTCCTCCTCCTTCTTCTCCTCCTTCTTCTTCTCCTCCTCCTTCTCCTTCTCCTCCTCTTCCTCCTTCTCCTCCTCCTCCTCCTCCTCCTCCTCCTCCTCCTCCTCCTCCTGTTGCTCCAACTCAGGCTCCATCCCTGCTTCAGTCTCCATCTCACTCTCAGGCTCCAGCTCCTTCTTGCCTGATTCCAGCTCAGGCCTCAAAACCTCCTGCTTGTAATTTGGCCTGTTTCCTGAGAACACCTTTGAAGAGAGAAATGGGGACAGGGGTGGCTAAAAATGCAGCCGAGTGCCTGAGGACCGAGGGTGGGAAAGGTGCTCGCTTTCCGAAGCCTACCCCTGATGGTCACCAGACACTCCAGGATGTGGCACTGTGTCCCAATCTTTTAGCTGAGTCAGGGGGTGGGGTGCTAAGCTCTGGGGGTAAGCCTCTGCAAGCCAGCCCTCCCCCCCCACCAGACTGAACCAGGACAAGACAACCTGAGGTCGAGACCTCCTCACCATCCCTACCCATGGACTGGGTGTCTGCAAAGTGACCCCAGATTGTCTCTGCGGAAACTATCTTGGATTATTTGCTTCTGGTTCATGAGCTGGCAGAGGATGTTTCAGCTTCTCCCTGGTCACAATGCAGAGGCTTTATGCACTTGAGGGGGAATTTTTAGGTGACCCCACCATGGCATCCTGCACCCATCCCAATATCTGTGCCCACAACTCAGTCGGGGTGCACCACTCACCTGTCCCCCTGATTCCTTGCAGGTCCGCGGCAGCTCCTGTTCTCCTGTGCTGACCCGCAGGGATGTCTCTGGAGGTGTTTCACATACTGTGTCCTGGGGTTCAGGATGCACACTGTCCTCCTCTGGGGCCTTCCCAGCATCTGAGTGTCGTGCAAGAAATGTCTTTCCGTCTATAGTAACGATATTCTTTTGGGGGGAAATTAAAGGTTAGGTGTGTGTGTGTGTGTGTGTGTGTGTGTGTGTGTGTGTGTGTGTGTGTTTGGGCCACACCTGTGGTGCTCAGCCAGGGAGGGGGACATATGTGCTGTGGGATTGAACCCAGACCGGCAGTGTGGAAGGCAGATACACCCCCCCCCCCCCGGATTTCTGAGACCCCAAACAGAGCTCTCCCAGGGGCTGCTCTGGAGGTATGATAATACGAATACCAGGAGCACCCCAAATGTGCACATCCAGTGTGGGGCAGAGATTATAAATGTGCCCCAGGCAAGGGTGGCTGACCAAACTCCGCCCAGTCTGTCCTCAACACCAATTCTGGCAGGCATTTCCATAGGAGCTGTCACTGTCACCCATGTGACTGGCATTTGGACACAACACTCAGTGGAATTGTTGTGTCCTCATTCTCACCTCAAACCCTTCTCTACCCATCAGCCCTGCCCTTGGTGGACGTGGGAATGCAGGAAGTAAGGGTGACCCTGCACAGCCACACAACCATTCCTGAGGGAATCACATGCTTAGTGCATAGTGGCATGAGTGAGGTCACTTGGTATGGGTCAGCTCAGACCACCCTGGAGACCAAGCCAGGCCCTCTCAGCCATGCAGCCCCCTGCACCAGGAGTAGGCAGGGACCATCCGGGAATGGAAGCATGGGATGGCCAGAGCCCCTCTTGTCTGCTGAGGCACTCATACCCCTGCTCCTGAGAGTGTGTCCGGCTGGAACCCTCTCACCTCCTCTGGGCATCCTACTCACCCATTTCTGGGGTTGTTTAAGGTTCTGCAGCAGCTGTTCCAGCTCCTGGCAGTTCTGCACCCCGTTCTCCCACACCAGCGCCTGCAGGTGCAGGGGTTCTGAGATGAGGAACTGCTCCAGCACCAGCTTGTCGAGAATCTCCATCTTCGAGTGGAGGTCAGGGCGCAGCCAGCACCAGCACAGGTGTCTCAGCATCTCCAGGTCCTGCAGTGGGTCTGGGTCCTGCTGCTGGTTCAGCCATTGGAAGCTCCGGAACCTCCGGAAGCTGGTGTGCCAGTACTCGGGGCTGCTGGGCGGCTCCGGGATCGGGGGTGGGGATTGTGGTGCAGAACTCGTGCCCACCGAAGGTGTCTCAGATGAAGCCATAGGGGGCTGCAGACTCGGGGTGCTGTGTGTTTGGGGGTATCCTGTGGATGGAGGCAGTTCCTGCAGAACCTGGAGAAAGGGAGCAGACTCTGAACTCACCTGCCTCCAACTGGTCTTGAGTCCTAAGGGGTCCCAGTTTTGTAAGGCTCACCCCCACTGAGTGTTCACTTCTCTGCAGGGGCCTGTCCGCATCCCTTCTCAGGGCTCACCCCTGCCCTCACCCTCACACATCAGCTGCAGGTAAATTCTTCAATCTGTGTTTTCCAGAATGCCACTCTTCCTTGTGGGTATTTTTTTTGGGGGGGGGGAGGGGATTGTGAAGGAGCTTGAAACCCAGCAGTGCTCAGGAGCTAGGAAAGTGCAGTGCTCAGGAGCCAGGAAAGTGCAGAGCCAAATGGAACTGGTCCCTGCACGAACTCCTTCCTGGAACTTTATTTTTTGCCTGAAAATGTAGGGGGTTTTGTTGTTGTTGGTTTTGGGTTTTTTGTTTGTTTGTTTTTAATGCCAGAGTTTTTTTTAGCACTCTGTGGAAACCAGGCATGAGCCTGAGTATAGCCTGATCATTCCGCAGAGAGAGTACAGGGAGTAGACATTTGCCTTACATGCAGTCAACACTGGTTTGACCCCTGGCACTGCACATGGCCCCCAAGCACTGCCAAGAGTGATCCTGGAGTGCAGAGCCAGGAGTGATTCTGGAGCACAGAGCAGGAGTTATCACTGAGCAGAGCCAGGAGTAAACTCTAAGCACAGCTGGGTGTGGCGCCCAAACCAAAAACAAACAGCAAAAACAAAAGCTGCAAACCCAAAGTACAATTGAAAGCACCAAATGTTCCCATCTAGTTCTAAAACTTTTCACTCCTCAAGCCCCCCCACCCACCCAGCACTCATCTCTGCCCCCTCTGTCCTGCCCAGACCTTTTTGTGGTTCCCTGGAATCCCCTTTTCCCCCAGACTCATCCTCTCGACACTCAGGCCGTAGTTTGTTGTGCCTTATAGGAAACAGAACAAGTTGAAAAGAATTGACAGGCACTCTGGTCCCCCACATGCCCTGTGTTGAGCACCAGCCTGACAAAGCCTGGGTCAGACCAGCCGGGAACGGGGCTCAAGAAGCTGCCACACAGGCTTCTGCGCATAACCCCGGGTTAGAGCCCCCACCACAGCGCCCAGGACGCCCCCCCCCCCAGAACCGACAAACAAAACCAAACAAATTCACCCTCTGTACTCGTCACCTTGTCCAAGCATGTCCCTGCTCTGCTGATGAGGCAGACAGGACCAGGATCTGTCTTCGTCCTGCGGGCTGGACCCCACCACTACAGACCCTCTCCCTAATGACCCCAGCACTCACCTCCTTCCGTCTCTCCCAAATGTGAAGCTGGAGTCCAGCCAGGCTTCAGCCCCTTTTAAAGGCCAAGGCCACCCACCCTGCCCCACCCTACATGATGTGGGATTAAAGCGGGAAATCCAGTCCTAGGAGACCCACCCTCGGTGCTTCAGGCCAGTTCTCTCTGCCAGTTGTGTGTGCTGAAGTTGAGGGGCTCAAACCGGCTCAGAGTCCTTTTATTTGATTTTATTTTAGTTTTCTGGGGCCACACCTGGAGTTACTCAAGAGCCTACAGGAGGTACTCCTGGCTCCGTGCTCCAGAGAGGCCGGGTGAGGGGGGGGTGCCTCAGGAGCCCTGATTTACATGAGACCAGGGCAGCTGTCCTGAAGTTAGGAGACTTGCCTCAGTTTTCCTGCACAGAAGCCAGGCCTTTTGTGCAGATGTGCAGAGAAGCAGGACAGTGCCTTCCCTGGTGCCTGCTCTCATGCCCTGTCCTGCAGCTGCACCATATGGGTATGGGGATGAGAAGACTGAGGCTTCCCATGGAGCTGCGCTTCCCTCCTCCGCCCTATCTCACTGAGCCACTGGGCTCGGCAACAAGGGATCCGTGTGGTGTGGGAACAGAACTCGAGGCCTCATGCCACGCACTCCCTCTGGTTCACTGAGCTCTCTCTGGCTTGAACAGAGTTGGAAATCATCAGCTGCTTTGAAATTTCACAACGGAAAACAAAGCCCTGCAAAAGAAAAGAACCTGCACTACTAAGGAGAGAGAGAGAGAGAGAGAGAGAGAGAGAGAGAGAGAGAGAGAGAGAACTATGGAGAAACAAAGGAGATTCTGCAGTGTGCAAAGTCCTTGTAACGAAAGTGGTGTCCAGACTGAGGCCATTCTAGTAAAAGTGACACCGGATTTTGTTTAACTTTGCAGCCATATACAAGAGTGCGTGGGGGCGTGTGCCAGGACTGGCACCTAGGCCACTGCATGCAGAGCACATACTCTGGCCCTTTGAGAAACCTCATCCATCCCCAGTGACACTTTTGTTTTCTGTTCTTGGGCTAGCCCTGGTGGTGCTCAAGGGTTACCCCTGGCAAGGCTCAGGGACCATATGTCGTGCTGGGGATCTGAACTATGGTCAGCCACATGCAAGCCAGTGCTTTAGCCCCTGTACGGTCACTCCAGCCCATAATCATAATTAAGTACTCTCGGCACTGCAGTCAAAGAAGAGAGAGACTGGGAATAATTCAGGAAGGGGGATTTTACTGATCACAAGCTATCCCAAGCTGGGGGGGCTATTTCCAATGCAGGCTGCAGAGAGAGGAGGAGGGGTAGACCTTTTTTTCTCAGGACAGAGATAAGAATGACATCACAGGCTCTACAGAATTTAGAAGTTATCTATTTTCCTATTTTCATGAGGGAGAATGGCGAGTATATGTAATTGAGAAACATACAACGAAGATACATGGTGGGGCCTGGAGATAATAAAGCAGGTAGGGCATTTGTCTTGTACACGACTGACCTGGATTTGATCCACCACATAGGGTCCCCTGAGCCCTGCCAGGAATGACCCCTGAGTGCAGAGCCAGAAGTAAGCCCTGAGCACCACCGGGTGTCCCCCCTACCCTCCACAGGAATACATATCACATATACAGAAATTGATGGAGAAACATGATGCATGTGTCCGGGTAGACTGAATGCTCTGTGTGCTGTCTCCACTGATGAGTTCTCGGGGATCTTATCAATGCAAAAGTGTCTTTAGGGCCAAAGAAGTGGTACAGGAGGCTCGCTCTACTTCCAGCCCAGGCACTGCAAAGGGTGCCCTGAGCCCTGCCAGGAGTGACTTCTGAACCAGGAATAAGTCCTGAGCACACCCAGGAGGGGAGTGACCCAACCCTTTCCCTACAAAAAAAAAAAAAGTTTCTCGGGTTCTGTTCTGGTCCCATGAGAGCCAATGGGTTGCAATGGGGCGACTTCTCTGGGAGAGGTTAGCACAACTGCAAAGGACAGTTCCTCGGTGGGCCGCGGCCCCAGCAAGTCCTGAATTTTCCATGCGCGGGAGAGAAGGGGTGAAAGACGTGTAAGTCCACGGGAAGGCGGGAAACTCCCGATCCCGGGTTTCAAGGTAGGAACCAGCAGCCCCTAGTGGGCCAAGGGTGCTGCTGGATGCGATCCTTCAAAATCAAATCGGACAACCACGACGAAGGCCCTGCGGTGTCTGTCAGGCCCCGCGCTGCCCGCTGTCGTGGTATTGGCACATAGCTGGGGTTCTCACCGGCACGGCAGGTTGCAGCGTCCTCGTAGTCGTCATTCTGGCTCTCGCGAGCGTGCAGGGAGCAGGTGGAGCCCGCAGGGGTCGCTGCTGTGCGTGCGCGTACTCCAGGGACACGGGCGCGCCCCGGAGCCTGGGGCGAACGCGCGCCCGGGGCTGAGCTGAGTGCGCGCCTCAGCGACGGCCAAGCTCCGCGTACCAGGCATCCTTCGGCCCCCGCTCCCCACTCCGAAAACTGCATTCTACAGTGGGAACCCTGTTCCTGCCCGCAGTCGTTTCCCGGGGAGCGTCCTTTGGCCCTTGCGGGGGAATGTGGCCGGCCTGAGAAGGGTAGTAGCGCGCGCTGAGGTCGCCGACCTGGCAACAGGCCCTTAGGAACGGACGAACATAGCAAGGGGCCAAAGAACTCCAGCCTTTCCTTTCCCGCTGCAATAAACTAGGGTCCACGTGCCCTTCTGATAGGCATCGCGCACACACACACACACACACACACACACACACATACCTGCACACACAACTGCACATATACACATGCACAGAGCACTGCTGGAAACATCCTCTGTTCTCCTCCGTGGGATGCGGTGGGCAGACGGGATATTCGGATCCCAGAGAGAAGCCGCAGTCGTTCACATTGTGCACACACTGATCCTGTGTGGAACACGATGGGGGGGTTGTATTGTTTCGGTTTTGCTTGAGGGCCACATGGGGTTGCGGGGGTCGAACTCGGGTTGGTCGCGTGCAAGCAAGCGCTCTCTCTCCCTGTCGAGTCTCTGGTTTTTCCTCATCAGCGCTGGAAGCGAAGTGCATCAGGACATCAGCGTGGAGGAGCAGTGGTCAGCAGGGGGCAGCAAAAACCCAACAGGAATCATTCGGGACCCCATACTTGCCCCAGAAATATTTAGTCCCAACTAGCAGTGAAGGATCATCATTTAAAGAACAAAAGACCTCTTGCAGTCCAGAGAGACAAAACCCGGTTAAGGAGTTTGCCTCGCACATAGCCAAGGCACCCCATATGACCTGAGAAATCGCTGAGCTCAGAGCCAGGAGTAAGCCCTGAGGACTGGGTGTAGCCCCCAAACCAAAAAAAGCAAATTAACTTTCATCTCTGAGTGTCAGGCTAAATTTAATCTCTTTCTATGGGGCCTGGGCAGGGCACACCAAGCTGTGTGTGAACTTACTCAGGGCTTACTCTTGGTTCTGCGCTCAGGGCTCACTCCTGGGGGGAGGGGTTGAGGGAATGAACACTGTTCAGACCCTGCAAATCAGGCACCTACTCATTGAACTGTTGCTTCAACCTCATATTGTATATTTTTATTTTTAAAATTTAATTTAAATTTAAAAATTTTTAATTTTTAAAATCAAATTTAATTTATTTAGTTTTAAATTTTATTTTTATAACACAGCGGGTAGGGCGT